GCCTGGTCTTGTATTACTTCTCTTGCTGGTCCTCGCCCTTAAGGACGGCGATCTGTCGCCTTGCCAGTGGTAGATGAACCGTAACCCCTGCTTGTGACGAGACATGAGACGAGGCGCGACAGTTGACGAGACACAGAGACGCGAGGCAAACAGACGAGACGGGACAGCAAACGAGACGAGATAAGAGGCGGACGAGATACTAGACGAGACAACGAGACCGACGCGACGCGAGCCGAGGCAGATGAGACAAGACGAGAGGCTGAAACGTTAGCTATCAAGACGAGACGAGACAAGATAGGTTATAGTGTGAGCACAGCATGTCGCATCGTATTGCTTTTCAGTGGTGAGAGGCAGACGCGTCCTGGGCCTGTCAAACAGTACCACGCGAGAAACACGCCAAAGGTGGTGATATTTCTCAGGCACTAAGAGGAAGCATTTAACACGAGGGTCATGGTCATGACGTCCATGCATATTTCAGAGAGCAGAGATCGAGCGCTCACCGGAGCGTCTGCTGCTCGATGGCTCCTTTTTTGGAAATGACTTGGGCTCGTTTGGCGTCGAAACTACATAATGTGCCCAGTCTGAAGCCACGCTGGCCCAGAAGCCGTATTTAATCCTCTCGGAACTGAGGGCTCCAGAAAGCAGTTTGTCGCCTCTTGAACCTTTTTTTTTTTGGGGGGGGGGGGCCTTTTCTAAACACGTCGGTGTTGTGTCGAAAGCGCGTGACCTCTTGTGAAAAAGTGTCGCGTGTAATGCCTGCCCGAGAGTGTTCAAACGCAGATCCAGGTGGGCTTGCTCGGTGCAATGTAACTCATACCTAGGATCCAAATAAGTCGCCTTGAATATTAAGGCATACAACAAATCCGCAATCGATAGGCCACTGCCAGTCTTTTACAAATGTGACGAAAATAAGTCGCGTGCTAGTAGACATCGAAGCATGCAGCCCAAATTGATGAGGCCCCGCTTTCCTAAAAGACTACACAGCGTGACCAGACGGGTGATAGGACACGAAAACAAATTACCGGTGCAGAGACAACTGCGCAGAAGTATGACGCACTCAGCCAAGTATGACTTGTAGGCACATTCACAGTTTATATAGCCCGAGCTATGTACTCGCGTGCGACGCCCTGAAAAACAAACGCCCGTGTGAGCAGATTTTAGGTCGGTGATGTGCCGTGCTGAGATGTGCGACTGCCGGTGAGGCGAGTGACCCGTACTCGGTCAAGGCGTTACACTCGGGCCCCCCACTGTCTGCTGCGCAGCCACATATGAAGTTCACACGTCACACGTGCGTCACAGGCCATGTTCGCCTGGGACTGCTGCACGGACTGCAGAAGAACGTGTTCCCCTGTTGTGGTCCGCCTGTTCCAGGAACAGCCATAGGAGCGAGGACCTGTGGACCCGGCTGTCCCTGCATGGCGGCGAGCGTGCTGAGCTGCCGTCAGGGGCCAATTGATATGCTTTCGGGACCCGAGTCCCTCTCCCGCAGTGCTGTCTTGAGCCCGCAATATTCCTCCGAGTACTTTCTCCTGTTGACATGGGAAAAAAGGAATACCGGGCCAATTAACCGCAGCGCACTTCTCTAAAATGCAGGTACACCGGGTGTCTATCTGAAGACATCACTACTGCTTTCACGTGCATTTTGTCTGCCTCACAGAATCCTTTAGGTTTATCTGCTTTTTCCATTCTAACTTCTTTATACACTAGGTCAGTCTGCAATTAATGACAGGTTATCGCGCAACAACACGTGGATTGGGGACAATGCACCAATATTCGGCAGTTTTTAAGTAAAAGGTAGCTAATCACATTCATCTGCCGGCACGGCTTGTCACCTATATACGGGAATTTTGTAAGTATGAAATCTGTTTATTTTACCTTTCCTCCGACCTTTTTGCTAGCTTGACGCATTGCTAAGCAGTGGTGCACGCGGGATTTTACAATCGGGTGGGGGGATTACAAGTCACAAATGAGCAGTTAGCGTGCCGCAGGCTGGTTAAAAACAATCCTTGACATATAAAACTCGAAGATAATTCTCTGGAATCCGGGAGAAATCGGGTCTTGAGTGAAGGGTTAGGTCATCCTCGCCGGCTGAGCTCCCGTACTTATTTGAAAAGTGACACACCTTGGTTGCAGTTGTATTCCGAACTGAATACAGCGGTGCACGTGTCTGTGGCCATGGGGGCCGATCACATGTCCTGAGCCGTGCTGCCGGCGCCGCGATACACGACACCGGGGGCGTTAATGGCCGGCCATAACGGCCGATGTTTTGAGCGCCATCAGTGGAACGGGAGCCGGCGGCCGGATGGTGTGTTGCCCACCGCTGGGATGACACCCGCCCGGCTGCGGGCCAAACAAACGGCGCCGTCCCCCGCTGCGCCCCGAGACGGTGTTTATATACAGGAGGGCAGGTGGGGCGAGCTGTGCGGGGAAATGGTAGAGGGGGGGGGGGGGGCGTCGGTCCACGGGCAGCGCCCAGTGATCTGCCAGGTTCATGCGGGTGGCGGACGATTACCGGCGCTGGCGATGTGCAAGTAAATAGCCGACGTTTAGAGGACGGGCGCCAGCTGTTTGACAGCTGACGAGCGACGTCTGAGCGGGGGTGACGCGGCGAAAGCCTGCCGGGCCAGGCAAACGACGCGATCTGCGACAGCGCGCTGTTGCCACTGGCGTCGCCGCGGTGGGGCGGGGTGTGCCGGCCGGCCGCCTCGCCGCTGTGATGCAATGCAGCAGCGGTAAATGATTGTCGGCTGGGGCGAATGGGAGGCGACTCCAGCAGCCGGCCGGCGGCTCTGTGACCGACTTTCATGAAAGCACATGTGGCCGGCTTTCCGCCGGCCGTGGGGTGGCTTTCAGTCGGAGTCACTGACCTCACTCGCTTCGCGGACCGGCGCCAATGGAGATGGCACAGGAGCCGCGGTTGCGTTCGCACCGCGCCGGCACCAGGCTGGCGCCAAAATAACAAGCCGCAGAAGTGGTGGTGTTTCGGTCGTGATTTTGGGGTGGTTTTTGTGACGATGTAGAATGGGCATGCTACCCGCAGGGAGACTTGTATGTGGCTGGTTCCTTGTGCCTGTGTAGAAGCGTGGTCCCACAGGTCATGCTGACCTTACTCCCTTGGCGTTTCGACCCCCAGCTGGTTGGGTATACAGCTGACATTCCACCAGGATAACGTCGCCATTTACGTGGATCCTGCATGCGGCCGTCCGGCAGCACGCCGCCAGGATAAGTCTACACAGACGATCTCGCACGCGGCGGCTCCTGCACACTGCTCTTTGGCAGCTGACGACCTGGACTTGGCCGCGGGCCTCGGGCGTCGGGCGGATGAGCCTGGCGATCTTGACGTGCTGCCCCGGCGATGTGGCGATATGTCCGGCACGCTCCGGTCTCCTGAAGCGTGACCACGGCCCGCCGCCTGCCCCGCTCGAGTCGTGCGCAGCTGGGGGTGGATGCTCGGCAACCGGTGGGCCGGGCTGTGGTCGTGTGTCGGTCCGTCTGCACCCCGGCACGCGGCGCGGCTCGACGCGAAGGACGTGCGATTTCCCTCGCAGTGCCCGGGCCTCGGGCGGCTTCAGCTTGGCGAGCTGGGCTGGGTTATGTGAAAGCTCTCGACAAACACGGGCGGGTGCAGGGCGCAGCTCCAGAGCTTGGGCGTGCAGACCACTAGTCTCTCCGATGGAGGCGTTGGCCGCCATTTGAATCGGCTCACTTTTCCATGTGGAAAGCGACTTCATAACTTAGATGGTACTTGTAGTTTGAGTCGTGCAACGAGGCGGTTGTTGCCGCCGTGGCCGAAGGGTGTTTATGTCTGCTTGCCGCCGTCAGGAGTGCTCATTGCAAGCTTGAGCTTGTCTCGAGCATCACTCATTGAGCGGCTGATCGGGACCATGTGGTGTTGCGGATTCCTGATGCAGCTGTAGTTGGCCACAATCGGCAGAGTTGTCGGTTGTTGCCGTCCCGCCGTGCGGAGGGGCGTGACCAACCTCGCCCTGTAATACAGATTAGAAAGTGACCAGCACTGCTTAGACGCGTTTGCTAGGTCGCGATCCACCATCAGCGGTACTTAATCAAACTTGTGCCGCGAAAGCGTGGCCACTGTAATGAGATGTCTTGCTCACTGTGTGATCGGTGCTCGTTTCTGTCGGAGGACGAACGATACTCGGGGGGGGGGGGGGGGGGAGGGAAGGAGCTCGGGTGGCGCCGCTGTGCTGGCGCTGCGCCGGTCCCGAATGCGGCCGGGGACTCCGGGCGACGCTGAGCACGCTGCCACCGAGCCTAGGCCCAGCCTTGTCGGACCTGTTCCGATCCCGACCGGTTCTTCTGGCCCACTTGACGGTCTTGCTCCGTGTTCGGCGCGCGTGCTCACGCATGCCTTGTTGCTGCTGTCTTGCCCCCGCACGAATACTCCGCGCATGCCTGGGTGCGTTCGGTGTGTCTCTGCTTGCGGTGAGGTCGGCAGGGCTACAGCTGGCATCGCCGGATGCGTGCATGTGTCCCGTCTCACCGGCGCGGCGCGGCGCGACGATGCGGCTGGATCTGGCTGTGTGCTGATCCGAACCGGCGGCTGGGTCTGCCTGTGTGCTGAAATGGACATTTTTGCAGTTACTAGCCTGCTAATTTCGTCGTTAATCTCCGTGTGCCCCCCATAAATCGACCACGCCACGTGAAATTTGCCTAATGCTGTGATCTTGGTTAAGTCTTTTTTGAGTGTTACACTTACTCAGTTGAGGGTAAACAGGCTGTTACGAGTGTGTGTTGATAAAGGTCAGGTTGGATAGCAAATTATTACAGCTTGCAGAAGTGTTACTGCTCGACAATGTCATTGGTCAAATCGGTCACTGTGCAGTGCGCGTTGGCCGTTTGAAATAGATCAGAATTCTTTGCGCTCTGGCGAAGATACGCTAGCGAGCACCAGCTTGCCCGACGCCCTGAACCACGCTCTGTTGGCGCCCGCCGCCGCACCACCCCTGCCTCCGTCCGTGACCCGTGACCCGCGACCCCAGGGAGCTGACCCGGCGACCGCACCTGGCCGGCACGCCCGAGAACGACCGGCTGGCCGCGTACGTGGCCGACACATGGCGTGACCAGGGCCTGGACAAGGTGGAGGTGTTGCCGTACGAAGTGCTGCTCTCATACCCGGACGAGCAGAAGGCTAACCTGGTGAGCCCCCCCCCCCCCCCCCGTCCTGCCATCGCCGCTTGGTATTCACGACTCGCACCGGCGGGCGAGCGGGTGGTGTGCGGGTTTCCCCCGCGCGCCGTCCCGGTGACCTTGGCCATCTCCCGCCTGTGTAGAGGTCAAACCACTACGTAGTCTAGTCCCCGTTATCCTCGGCAAGCCCCTCAGACCCGCGAAGCGACACTGCGGCCCTGCTCCGCCTCCTGTTCCGGCCCCTGGTCCGGCGTCCTCTCCGGCCCTTGCCGGTGAGTCTGTGTCCTTGCACGGACCCTGCGGCCCTGCCCCGGCCCCTGCTCCGGTCCCTGCCGGTGAGGCCGTGTCCCCGCACGGACCCATGTGCCGTTGACCTTGACGCCGAGGCCGTGGCCGGCAGGTGCGCGTGCTGGACGGGTCGGGCAGCGCCGTGTTTACGGCCCGCCACCGGCAGCCACCAGTGCGCGCACCTGAGGAGAGCGACCCGACCGTGCCGCAGAACTTCAACGCCTACTCGGCCACCGGCAAGGTCGAGGTGCGTGCGTAGCCGAACGGTATGAAGCGGCTAGCCGTGGACCGATGTGTCTGGGGTTCGGTTCTCACCACTGGCGGCTTTTGCTGTCCCGGATTTCTTCCACGAGTGGTGACGTTAGTGATCTAAGCAGTTGCATGTAAACATGAGGCTCAAGCTCGCTACGTTTGACGCCAGCACGTTCTGCCGTCTCGTTCTGCCGCTGTGACGGCTGGATAAGTTGCCATTCTGCGGTCACATGTCCATAGGGCCAGGCCAACTGGTCTCCTCAGCCTTCGTGCGCGCTGTTGCTTCTCCGTCAACGATTGCAATAATTGTGTCGCGTGCCTGTTTGCACTAGATGAAGACAGAAGTCTGATAGTCTGGTTTTGATGTTATATCGACAGACAGTAATCAGCTCATTCCTTTAGGCCAAGATCGTCTATGCCAATTATGGACGTGAAGAGGATTTCCTTCTTCTGGCGTCCTTGAATATCACTGTCAAGGATTTGATCGTCATCGCAAGATACGGGAAAATATTCCGAGGAAATAAGGTACGTGTTTGAAGATATCGCTTTGCAGTGGCGAAGGCTTTTGTTTTTAAATGTTTCCTGGATCAACACCCACTCTAAGCATCCTTGTGGTTTGAGCCCTGACCAAGGTATCTACATGGTAAAATTTCGGGCCAACGGAAGAACTTTATGGAAAAAGCTGAACGTTCCGCGATGCTGAGCACGGTCCGCCCTACCATCTGACGTCACCTGACCTTAAGCGCGACCGCTGCTAGCGGCCGCGGGCCATCCCAGTCAGGGGCAAAAAGCAAGTGCCTTAAGCGAGTACAGCCCATCCGATCATGGGCGGTGAATTAGAATGCAGGCGCCCTAACCAACTGAACTATCGGGCCGGACAAACGATTGATATGACCGCACAAGAAAAATACAGCGTCTTGCTTGAAAGTGATGTTTTGATTATGATGATAACTGAAACCAGGCATTTCTAAAACACGAATTAAAGAATAGTAGCTGAACGAGATCATTGTTAATGGACTGATTTACTAATGGCCAGAAGGCGAAAGCTTGTTTCCATTCTGACTTGTCTTATTTTGCGGTGAACATACAATAATTGGTATGCCAAAGATCATTCTTTATCGTCAGTTTAGAGCTCTTGTGCTGACAATGCAGACAGTATACCAGTACATATTTGTCGAGTAATTGTATCAAGAAGACATTTGTTATCTGTTCAAAACTTATCTTGGAGTTTTGACAATGTAGCCAGCATTTGCTAAATATCGTCGTTCAACCTGTGCCTCCTGGTACAGTGAAGGTCGCTTTTGTCCTCGGAAAGACGGTTTGCTTGTCATGCTGAAAAACAAGAACCCCATGTATTTCTTGCTTCTATCCATCATGTTTGCCCCCACGTTGGTTAGTTTCTTATACAAATGATCATAGTCAGCTGACTGTAACTTCAGTTTTGTTTGCAGGAAGAATGCGGCATTACTATACATTCTCAAACGGAGACCACGGTTTCCTTTCCACGCTTTGAACGTGAATTCCCATTCACTTTTTTATTTCATCAGCATTAATTCTAAGGCCGCCTCCGTGGTCTTGGGGAAAGATGCTGGACTCGTAATCTAGCGGCGCTGGGTACGAGTCCCAGAGTGGGCGCATTGTTAAACCCGACTGAAATGGAAAGGCCTGCTGGCAACTGGTCAACGAGGTTCAACCCAGACCCGAGGCGGCCGTGTCGCAGCATTGTGCGGCACGTAAAACCCTCCGCATTCCTGTCTGGCGAAAGGGCGGAGGCAAAATTAGCTGTTGAACTGGACGGCACGCTTGGATGGTGGGTTCGGGGTACACGCAACAAGCTATGCTTAGCAGGTACTCTGAATCCGAAGTCACCCACACAAACCATTCGGGATAATTTTTTTTTTCATCAAAAATAATTAAAGGCATAAGTCTCATTCATGCTGCAGCCGTGGCGTATCATATCGCAGTAGATAAATCCCGTCTTTCTTTCCAATGACGTGCACTTAAATGTACGTAATCCTTCTGTTGCTTTGCTGGTGAATGTTGATGGTTTCCCCCTACGAAGTAAGTGTGCCAGTGCCTTGCTTTTCTGTGTGTGGGGGGGGGGGGAGGTGGCCATGGTGCACGCATTTTTCTTTGGGCACGACTCAGATTACTACATGAAAATGCCCGTGTCCACAAGAAGCTGAAAGAGCAATGACGACGATTTTTCAGCAGTTGAGGGTTCGTCAGCCACTAGTATTTCAGCTGTATATTGGCAACGGCATTGCTATCGTCGCTGGCAGACAGCCGACTTATGCGCATTGTGAGGTGCTCTACCCCCCTTTATGCAGGCTATGTGTGAACAGGTCATGGGATATGGGAGATACACCAGACGGCGATTCCATGGAGAAATAAGCTACTCTTTTGCTAAGTAAAAGACAGACGTTTTCATAGTTCGTTGATGACTGACTCGAGAACGAATCAGTTCTATTATCTTGCTTATAAAAAGGCAATGATCTGCTTATTCTAGCAGCCAAACTAACAGGATCCACGAAAAGATTTTTTGTGTCGACATGTCGATATGGGCTCTATTCCACCTAAGATACTATGCTTGTGTTCAACTAACCAAATTCACTATGTCGAGAACACAGTTCGGTTTGCCTTTGCATAGCCCTCGACGACCCAAAGTTCACGAACAACCCCAGCCCGGCGCAAGCAAGGTCGCCACACGGCACTGTGGCACGATCCGGCTCCGACTCCTCACAGGTGATTTAAAGGCATACCGGCCTGTGTACCCGACCGCTATTCCGCACCTGGATCCGGCGGCGCCGCGGGCCGCCGCGCCACCCCGACCGCGGGCGTGTGCGCCCCGGCTGCGGTGCTGACGGCTGGTCCGGGGTGGCGACAGGTGGCGATGTGCGAGCAGCTGGGCTGCGCCGGCCTCATCTTGTACAGCGACCCGGCCGACTCAGCGCCGGACGGCCTGGGCGCCGTCTACCCGGACACGGTGTACCTGCCGGCCGGCGGCGCCCAGCTGGGTACCATCTTCTCCGGCACCGGCGACCCGCTCACACCGCTGTACCCGTCCATCGGTGAGGGGCCGCCCGCACCGCGGCGCCGACTCCAAGCACTGCACTGACTCATCGATACCGATCGGGATGGAGATCCTTTGGCTCCCCGGGACCGACCTGGGCGGGGATCCACTTACCTATGCGGGATTTACTGACGCCTCGATAGCGAGTATAGATTGGGTCTTATTGACGCAGGCGAAGATCCACTTACGCTCCATTACCAATACTGAAACGGACCCCTGCCGGATGGCCACGCTTGAACCGTGAGCCGTGCTTCTCCCAAACCCCGGACATATCACGTGTCTGTGGCGGTCCGTGGTGTGTCTTCTGTATCTGTGTCCGGACACGGCACACAAACGGTGGCGCGCCGGCCGTCTTCTCTCGCGCGATTCGATGTCGCGACGGAGGCGCCGTCCGCCGAGGAGCGTCTGGGTGGCCCGGCGGCGTGTGCCGGTGCGGTCCCGCTAGACTGAAGCTCCGTCGTGCTGCCCGTGTGCGCGCCGCCCCAGTGCTGCTCCCCGCCCGGCCGTCTCGCGCCCTGGACGCGCCGCCCCAGCGTTGTTCCCCGCCGGGCCGTCTCGCGCCCGGCGGGGAGCAGTCTCTCGCCGTCCTGTCCACTGCGACTGGCGGCCGTGGCTGACGCGCCGTTCGTCGCCGACAGAGGGCGCGTTTCGGCTGAACGAGTCGGAAGCGACCCTGCCCCGGATTCCCGTGCAGCCAATCAGCGCCGAGGACGCCTACCAGCTGCTCCGGTGAGGCCGGCGCCAGGGTGCGGGGTTGTGCCCTCCAGTTGCCTTAAACATGCGTCTCCTATGACGTTACATGGAAACTCTGGGTTCCATAGTTCCCTTTTATTCCGATATCGCAGCGCACCGCGGTCCTTGGCTATCGCAACCATAATGCCTCCAGAGGCCGTGGCCAGACGCAGCTGTCTGTCTACTCTTGTGCTTGCTGTTTATTCTCGGCTTAGTGTTCTGGCTTTTGGGCAATATGTTTTCTTCAACGATGCACATCGGGCTGTTTTCAGCCATTGGCGCCTGCAGGGAGAGACAAGAGTCCCCCACCGTCCCCCTCCTGGGCCCGTGGACGGCTAGTCCATGTGATAGAGCCAGCTGGTGTGCTGCTGTGGTCCGACTTGTGCCGTGCCGTTTGTCCGTGTCTCGTCGTGGTGCTGTGCGCCTGTGTTGGGGCGCATACGACACTGCGCGTCTGTGCGCAGGCTGATGTGACACTGTACGCCTGTGCGCAGGCTGATGTGACACTGTACGCCTGTGCGCAGGCTGATGTGACACTGTACGCCTGTGCGCAGGCTGATGTGACACTGTACGCCTGTGCGCAGGCTGATGTGACACTGTACGCCTGTGCGCAGGCTGATATGACACTGTGCGTCTGTGCGCAGGCTGACGTGACACTGTGCGTCTGTGCGCAGGCTGATGTGACACTGTACGCCTGTGCGCAGGCTAATATGACACTGTGCGTCTGTGCGCAGGCCGACGTGACACTGTGCGCCTGTGCGCAGGCTGACGTGACACTGTACGCCTGCGCGCAGTCTGGTGTGACACTGTATGCCTGTGCGCAGGCTGATGTGACACTGTACGCCTGTGCGCAGGCTAATATGACACTGTGCGTCTGTGCGCAGGCCGACGTGACACTGTGCGCCTGTGCGCAGGCTGACGTGACACTGTACGCCTGCGCGCAGTCTGGTGTGACACTGTATGCCTGTGCGCAGGCTGATGTGACACTGTACGCCTGTGCGCAGGCTAATATGACACTGTGCGTCTGTGCGCAGGCCGACGTGACACTGTGCACCTGTGCGCAGGCTGACGTGACATTGTATACCCGTGCGCAGGCTAACGTGACGCTGTTACGCCTGTGCGCAGGCTGATGTGACACTGTACGTCTGTGCGCAGGCTGACGTGACACTGTGCGCCTGTGCGCAGGCTGATGCCGCCGACAGCAGCGGCGCCGGCCGACTGGGTGGGCGGCCTGAACCTGACCTACGGCCTGGGCCCTGGCCCGGCGCGGCCCGACTGGACGGTCCAGCTTGACATCCACACACACAACCGACGTGCCAACGCCACCAACGTCATCGCCACGCTGCGCGGCTACGAGGAACCCGGTGGGTGGTGGTCAGGCGTACCAGCGCGACCCCGGCCCGACCGCGGCGGCGGGCAATGGCATTTGTCGCGGAAAGCTCAGTCCTTTTGTGAGCGGCGGCTTAGGACCTGTGGCATGTCAGACAGATGCCCGGGAGGACGGAAGTAGACAGGACGCGTCGCCTCTGCTGGAGTGTTTTGTGGACACTTCCACCGGCTGTGCACAGTCGTGTGTTGTCTGGGGCCGTGGTGGGGTGGACTGACTGGCTGGCTGGACGGTTGGGGAGGCGCGGGGCGGCCCCTGTAGCGTGTCTCTCCAGTCCTTGTAGAGCCCAGTAGCGTGACTCCCGTGGGTTATGTACATTGACTTCCCGGTCTTTGTAGGGTGTCTCCTCGACCCATGTAGCTTGTCTCCCGGCCTCTGCCGGCCTCCGCAGCGTGTCTCCCGGCCTTTGTAGCGTGTCCCTCCCGACAGACCGGTACGTGTTGGTGGGCAACCATCGCGACGCGTGGATCTTCGGCGCCATCGACCCATCCTCCGGCACGGCCGCCATGCTGGAGCTCAGCCGCGTGCTTGCCAACCTGCGCAAGGACACGGGTGAGGGGCCGTCCGGGGACGGAGGCAGATGAGGAGGGTCCGCCGGCAGAGTGATCGTGAAAGGCCAGCCTGTCAGCACAGATGGGAAGGTTTGATAGAGGCAAGGAAGGCCCTGAACTTCTGGCTTCCGGGCATTGTGAGTTTTTGAGTACTTATGCGGACAGTTACCGACCTCATGTGTGTGATTTTGAGCTCTCGTAGTCGTGAGCATATTTTGAAGTGGTGAGTTCTGACAGTGCTGTGGGGTGACTGGGCTGGTAGAGCTAGCTGGGGACAACCTGCCTGCGGACAGACATCGAGATGAACACTGGCGTGTGCTGCAGCGGCGACGGCGATCGGTCGACGTCTGACGCTGGGGACGCGACGGCCAGGGATTGCTGACCCGGTCGGGCACCGTGTGCGCGCACGCCTGGTCGCGACTGGCGGCCGGGCGGTGACGTGCGGGACGGCCTCCCCGAGCTCCGCTCCTCCCTCCCCCCCCCCCCCCTCTCTCTCCGGGAGCGCACGCCGCTGGCAGAGCCAGCCGCCGGCGCCGGTCGCTCCCAGGCGACTCCTGGGAGCCGCTCCCGGGCGCGGCCCCCTGACGCCCGGCCGTCCGCAGGCTGGCGGCCGCGCCGCTCCATTGTCTTCTGCAGCTGGGGCGCCGAGGAGTACGGCCTGGTGGGCTCCGTTGAGTGGGTGCAGCACCGGCGCCAGCAGCTGGCCGCGCGCGCCATCGCCTACCTCAACGTCGACCTCACGATAAACGGTAGGCGGCGGGCCGGCCTGTCGGTCGGCGGCGGCTGTGACTGTCCCCGCTGGCATACGTAGCCTCGGACGCTGCCCACAGAGAGCTGACATAGCACGTAGCGTCAGAAGCGTGCATTGCTCATCAGTTCATTTTGAATGCCCGTCAGTGTCGGTCGTTGTAATGGTGAAGCGGTAAGAACGGTTGTACCGTCGTGGACGGGTGTAACTGTTCGGCCAGTGCGTGGAATAGGGCTTGAGGACGTGCCTGCGCAATGCTTGAGAGTCGCACCGAGATCCGAAGCGGCATGCGCTACGAACGGCACCGGTCGTGCCGCCGGGCTCGGCCGGCCGGCAGTGCGCTGTGTTGAGCCGCCGGCCCGCCCGCGCCGCCAGGCAACGAGACGCTGCGCGCGCTGGGCGTGCCGCTGCTGCACGACCTGCTGTTCGAGTCGGCGCGCGCCGTGGCCAACCCGAACCCGGCCGAGGTGGCGGCCGGCCGGCGCACCGTCTACGACACCTGGCTGCTGCACCGGCTCGACAACGAGACCGGCCTGCCGGCGTGAGTGACGCTCCGCCCCCGGTGCTCCGGCGCTCCGCCCCCGGCGCTCCGGCGCTCCGGCGCTCCGGCGCTCCGGCGCTCCGGCGCTCCGGTCCCAGGTCACCACCGCTGTCGCTCACCGAGAGACCGCCATGGCGGGTCGTACGGCAGGGTGGCATGCGAGGCTCCGCGGCAGGAGCGGCAGCAGTGCCGGCGGCATGCCTGCGCTCGTGCTTTTTTTAGTGCGTTGTGCTGCTCCTTGATTTTGCACTCGTTCTGCTGGACGCCGGAATTGTGTCCGCCGTTTCGTTGGCCCGTTGCTCGTCGTGGCTCAGCAGGCGTGCGGTGTCTGTCGTTAGTGTCAACGTACCAGGCGATGGCAGCGACCACAAGGGCTTCATCCACAACGAGGGCATACCCGCCGTCGACGTGTGCTACGACGTAAGTGTCGGAGCGTGAGTAAAAGCCAACCGCGGCCCAGCCTGGACGTCGTGCCGCCGGGAGCCGACCCAGCCTCATCGCATGGCCCTGATCCCGGCCGGGGCTCTTTCTCCGGCCAGGACCTCAGCCGAGACCCAGGCCGAGACTGAGACCCAGACCCAGACCCAGACCGAAGCTGAGACCGAGATCCAGACCGAGACTGAGACCCAGACCCAGACCGAAACCGAGACCGAGATCCAGACCGAGGCCGAAACTGAGACCCAGACCCAGACCGAAGCTGAGACCGAGATTCAGACCGAGACTGAGACCCAGACCCAGACCGAAACCGAGACCGAGATCCAGACCGAGCCCGAAACTGAGACCCAGACCCAGAACGAGACCGAGACCGAGACCGAGACCGAGACCGAGACCGAGACCGAGACCGGGACCGGGACCGGGACCGAGACCGAGACCGAGACCGAGACCGAGACCGAGGCTGAGACTGAGATCTAGACCCAGACCCAGACCCAGACCCAGACCGATACTGAGATCCAGACCCAGACCGAAATCGAGACCTAGACCGAGGTCGACACCGAAACCCAGGCCCAGACCCCGACCCAGACCCGGACCGGGCTGACGCGCTCTGGGCCTGCAGGGTGCCCCTGCCGGGCAAGGGCAGCGACTACAAACAGTTCCTGACTGTGGAGGGCATCCCCAGCACGGACCACCGGTACTATACTAAGGTGACTGGGCCGGGCGGACGCGGGGCCAGCCGGCACCCGTCGGGGGCTGTCGGCCGGCGGGCGGCGCACGTCCTCCCGCTGCATGGGCACGCCATGTGCCGGCGCGGCGTCCGACGCCGTGGTAGCGCGCCCGGCAGCGGTGTGCATCCCAGGGATCATGGGCGGAGCCTTGTTCCTCCGGCAGGGGCCTTCGACTACCATTGATTGTGCTGACGTGCTCACTGTTTGACTAAGAAATAGCAATTGCACCAAGTGTTAAAAATGACAACTTCCACCCTTGGTGGGAGCTCAGTTCAGAGAGACAGAGAGACAGACAGAGAGAGAGAGAGAGAGAGAGAGCCCCGCCCTCCGCATTGAATTTTACAAGGCTTCGCTTATGGTCCGAGTGCCTGTTTTGCCCTTAACTAACGACGCGTGCCGGGCGTCTCCCCGCCCGTTGGTCGTCCGTTTGCATGGTGCGCGAGCCACCGCAGGTGACGGTCCGTCTTGCGGTGATGCTATAGAGGGGCATCGTTACCTTTTTGCTCCAGGTGATGGGTACATTTTGATTTCGGCTTTGGTTTGCAGGTGTGATAGATAAAAACATGACGACGGTCAGAACCAGATATCTCGGTTTGGTTCTACTTGCACTAATATCGGCGTAAATTGGCTCTAGTTTTCATCGGGTCCAAAATCCCCGTTTGCATCAGCACATTCGCCTGCTTTGATCTTACGCTCACTGGTCATGGTTTGTGACTTAATGTTCTGTCCATTGTAATATCATGTGGGTTGTGGGGGTCCGTATTGTGACCGCTCATTGAGTGCAGGGTGTATTGTTTATAAAGTTTCTCGCTGTACAGACATGCAGTTGAATAGCTCCGAGGCAGTAGCAGTGTCATTCCATCCCTGTTTTCTGTCAGCCGCCCTGTCGCCGGCATAGGGCGGTGTTGCAGCAAAGCTGTGAGTGCAGTGCAGTGTCCCGGCCCCCGGACGGGAGCGGGGCAGTGTCCCGGCCCGAGCCGGACGGGAGCGGGGCAGTGTCCCGGCCCGAGCCGGACGGGAGCGGGGCAGTGTCCCGGCCCGAGCCCGACGGGAGCGGGACATTGCCCCGGCCCGAGCGGACGGGAGAGGGACATTGTCCCGGCCCGAGCGGACGGGAGCGGGGCAGTGTCCCGGCCCGAGCCGGACGGGAGCAGGACATTGTCCCGGCCCGAGCGGACGGGAGCGGGACATTGTCCCGGCCCGAGCGGACGGGAGCGGGGCAGTGTCCCGGCCCGAGCCGGACGGGAGCGGGGGCAGTGTCCCGGCCCGAGCCCGACGGGAGCGGGACATTGCCCCGGCCCGAGCGGACGGGAGCGGGACATTGTCCCGGCCCGAGCGGACGGGAGAGGGACAGTGTCGCGGCCCGAGCGGACGGGAGCAGGACATTGTCGCGGCCCGAGCGGACGGGAGCGGGACAGTGTCGCGGCCCGGGCGGACGGGAGCAGGACATTGTCCCGGCCCGAGCGGACGGGAGCGGGACATTGTCTCGGCCTGAGCCGGACGGGAGTGGGGCAGTGTCCCGGTCCGAGCCGGACGGGAGCAGGACATTGTCCCGGCCCGAGCGGACGGGAGCGGGGCAGTGTCCCGGTCCGAGCCGGATGGGAGCGGGGCAGTGTCCCGGTCCGAGCCGGACGGGAGCAGGACATTGTCCCGGCCCGAGCGGACGGGAGTGGGGCAGTGTCCCGGCCCGAGCCGGATGGGAGCGGGGCAGTGTCCCTGCCCGAGCCGAACGGGAGCGAGGCGTGACGTGAACTTCGCGCCGGCGCCGGCAGGAGAAAGCGCACCTACTCCATGTACCACACGCTGTACGAGACGTACTTTCTGGTGACGGAGCTGGCTGACCGCGGTCTGCACTTCACCGCCGCCGTCGCCAAGATGTGGGGCGAGATGGCCCGACGGTAAGTGGACCGGCGCGCGTCACGGGCTCCGCAGAGCGGTAGAGCACGACGGGCGATGGGCCGAGTTACGGAGGCGGCAGCTGGCGGTGTCGCACACGGCATTGTATCGTTCGCTGCTCACGTCGTGAAAGCTGGATGAGGCTGGGCTGTGCTTTCGATGGCGCGGGGGTGACGAGGTAACCTCGCTGCGAACGGCAGTCGTGAAACGGCGAAACAAACCGCCGATCCGGTCAGGCGTTGTATCCTAATGCGTTCGCGATCAGTGGGTCGGCGCTTGACGCCTGTTTTGTTCAGCCTGGCGGCGTCACGCGCCCGTCCCGAGCCGGCTGCGGCCGCCGCACGCGGGCGGGTCTCGTGAGGCTGGTCGGGACCGACCGCTCAGACGGCCGTGCTTGCAGGCTGGCTGACGACCCGGTGATTCCGTTCAACGTGGTCAACTACGCCACCTACCTGCAGAAGTCGTTCGAGACGGTGCACACCACGTTCGGCGCGCTGCTGGAGGAGAATGGCGCCTCGCTGCGTACGTACCCCGCCACCCCACCCCGCCTCTTCCCTACCCCCAGCAGGTCTGGGTGTGGTTGGCTTGGTGGTAGTGATGGTTTGGTGCTAAGGACGCGGTGGGCTCGGTGGTAGTGGTGGATTGGCGTTAAGGGCGTGGTGGGCTCGGTGGTAGCAGTGATTTGGCGTTAAGGACATGTTGGCTTAGCGTTAATGACATGTTGGCTCGGTGTAGTGGTGGATTGGTGTTAAGGACATTGGTGGCTCGGTGGTAGTGATGGTTTGGTGCTAAGCACGCGGTGGGCTCACAGACACAGGACATGCCGCTATAGCTTTCGTGCCTAAGGCGCAGATGTCAGCAGCAGCCGAATTCTCACGAGGATAGGCATTTGTGTTTGCCGACAAAACTCGCCGTAACCGAAGCATGTCGTCTGGCGGTTGTGTTCACTGACAATGCTGCTGACCCGTTGAAACGAGGGTGCATCAGTTGTGGCGTCAAGAAGTCAGCTACGCTTGACGCGCGTTCTGACTGCAGGAATGATGAGCTGTAGATGTACAAATAAGCCGTGACCTTGTCGATAACCTCACGGGTAGAATCAGGAAGGAGTTGCGTTTTTCAGGATACGTCAAAGCCGCAATCGATGACTTCGCCGAGGCGGCGTCCCACTTCCATGACCACTTCCTGCGACTGCTGGATCTAGACAAGTGAGTAATGACCATTCTGGGTGCCTCTCCCCACTACAGGGCGGGCGTGGTGTAGCTTTAAAAAATCAGAAAACAGGCGCCAATTCTAAAAAAATATACAGTGCTGTCTGCGCTAAATTCGGCATCATTCCAGCCATAACCGAGCTTGGCTGGGTGACGGTACTAGACGCGGAAAGGCTGCAGCTGTCCGTCTCTGTGTATTTGGAGCCTAGTGGCGGTCAGCCAGCACCCTTCCGGTGTGTGATCGAGTCGGGTGTGATGGGTCGAGTTGGCCCGTACTGTGGCCTGTGCGTGCTGTCTTCGTCGTCATCTCCTTGGGAGGCGTGTCAACCAGCTGCTTCTGTGACGGATGTGGCAGCTGTGGCAGCTGTGATGGACGTGGCGGCTGTGATGGGTGTGGCGGCTGCGGCGGCTGGGACGGATGTGGCAGTTGTGACGGATGTGACGGATGTGATGGACGTGGCGACCGTGATGGGTGTGGCGGCTGCGGTGGCCGTGACGGATGTGGCGGCCGTGGCGACTGTGGTGGCTGTGATGGACGTGGCGGCTGTGATGAGTGTGGCGGCTGCGGCGGCTGGGACGGATGTGGCATACGTGACGGATGTGACGGATGTGGCGGCTGTGGCGGCTGCGACGGGTCTCGGTGGCGGCGGCTGACGGCCGGCGCCGCTGTTGCAGTCCGCTGGCAGTGCGGCAGGCCAACGACATCCTGATGGGCGTGGAGCGGTCGTTCGTGGACCCGCACGGCCTCCCCGACCGGCCCGAATTCAAGTACGTCGCCGGCCTGTGCGCCCGGCCGACTGCGGCGACACTCGGAGCTGGGTCGGCGCCCAGTCTGGCCCGAGCGCCTCCAACCGGCCGCCCACCGCGCGGGCCGTGTGGGGCTGACTCTGGGCGCTGGCTGGTCTCGGCTACTTGTCTTTTGATGTGCTGAATGCTGATGGTTTCATTGCGCTGTTTCAAGTGGGCAATGATAGGCTTGCGACGTAAGGCGTGGGTAATGAAATGCCTCGTATTGCTTTTGCTTTTGTGAAATTGATTGCCCGCCTTTGCGTCGCATATAGCTTGGCATACTGAGTGAAATGAGATCTTTCAGCACATCGTGCTCCGGCAGCCGCTGAGCAGAGTTGGGTCATGCAGATGGACATTATATCGAATGCGTTTCCTATTGGGGGAAAGCTGAGAGGAGTCAGCTGACGCAGGTCTTGCGGTCAAAGCCTAAAAACGGCGTGCACTCACTGGCGGTTTTCACTGCTCCCACGGCGTGTGTCTGTGTCTGTGTCTGTGTCGTGTGTCTGACTCGGCCCGCTGCCTTGGCAGTCACGTGTCTGACTCCGCTACTCCCCTGGCAGTCACGTGATCTTCTCGCCGAGCTCGCTGGACGGCTACACGGGCGTGACGTTCCCGGGGCTGGTGGACCTGCTGCACGGAGTGGAGGAGCTGCCGGCCAAGGAGCGCGCCGCCCGCTGGCAGAAGATCCGGCAGCACGTGTCCGTACTGAGCTATCTGATCGGGAGCGCCGCGCACGGGCTGGCGCAGGACGTGTAGCGCCGCCCGGCCACCGGCCACCGGCGGCGCCGGTGCCGGCGCCCCACAGCAACGCCGCCGTCGTCAGGCGGCGGGTGTCTCCGCGCAGGGAAGCGCTGTGTGGAGTGGCGTGTCGCGGCCGGGGAGCAGCCGTGCATCTATCGGTCGGGAGCGGTGGCCGGCTGGTGGGAGGCAAGTGCCAGTCTCTGAGTTGGCTCCCAGGCGTGTGTCGTGTCGGTGCTGATGCGAGGGCTTTGGAGGGCCCGGCGCGTGGTTGTGGTAGGAATGGGCGTGGCGTAACGACGCCTTCTCATGCAATACGCGGTACAACTGAGGTGAGTGCCTGTCAGTCCACGATCCACTGTGATATCAAAGAGCGTGGCAGGTTGTGCAGCTGCGCGTGCGGGTCGCTGGGTATGCGCCTTTCTAGGACGGGTGATGTCGAGAAACCATCGCTTGCAACCACATATCGAGGCGGTTGAGGATCTGGAGCTGCTTTTACGAAGTGCATGTGAAAGGGCTCCTGCATTTTGTAAGGGCTTCTGATGTAACAATAACTGCGAGCGTGTCATGTTGTGGTACCGTCGGACTTCCAGCATACATACGTAAGAACCGGACGTCTGGTTCTCGTCGCCAGGTGCCTTTTCACACAATGCGCCATGCGACGTCCAACGCTACTGAATAACAGGATGACTGGCTTACGGGTGTTGAAGAGCCCGCTATTCATAGATGGCCAGGGGCATTCTCGCAAGCGTTCAAGGCGTGCGTTGATATGAAGATCTTTGCTGCAAATGTGCGCTGTGTTGTGTACCTCGCGATGTGCACGATTGTAGCCTTGATACAGTTTTATGAACTCGCGAGTCTGCTTTTTCCCGCGCGACCGCGTTTTCGTACCTAATGGAGGCGATGCCTCGGCCGTTGTGTTGCTGGTCAGTGAAGCAATTGTAACTAATTGTATGCGACTAATAAAGGGTTTTCATTTGGCATTGGGTTTCATTCCCACCGGCCCGAGGTGTAGTGCAGAACGGCGGCGGGGTTGTTCCCGGCACCTGCCGACGAGCGATGTAGTATGGGGGAAAATGTACCAGATCCCGGTATGGGAATGCTAGTGTGGCTGCGGTTATTACGTGGTGCGTTGGAAGCACGCGCATTGCTGGCTCGCAAGGCTCTCCCGTTTGTCCCGCTTATACCTTGTTTGGGGGAGAGATGCGAGCGGAATAGTTCAGGTCGGCGTGTGCTCCACTTCGGCGTGGGGGACCCGGCGGACGCTGCGGCGTCTGGACATCTAAATGGCCGCCGTCGTCGGCGTTCCCGCTCACGTACGCAGCACGGCCTTCGATGAAGAAGTTCCCGTCTCGTTCTCACGTGTTTATTGGATGGAGCATTAAGCAAAGAACGTCGACAGTGTCGGTACCATCGCCTGCGCTGCTCGTACGTGCAGCCTGAGTAGAGGATAGTCTGGTAACCTGAGGCACGGCTCCGTAACGCCAGGTATGAAGAGTGCAGTGGCCAAGAATGCAGTCAAGTGATCGAGTCTATGATTCAAAAAGAAGACGAAGAGCACTACTGGGCTCCTTGGCCTGTCCTGACAAGTATACCTCACAATCGTCGGGTACATATAACCGTGGCCGGCTGACACAGTATAGTGAAGAGGCACATTGCTACGCGTTCACGCAGATGACCCAGACAACAGGAGGAGGGGTGTCTTCGATGGAGACATCGCTTCAGCCGAGTGATAAGAGCTGCATCGTAGCTGCATCGAATGATTACATCCGTGTGCATCTCCTGTCGTCGGAGCTGCAGCCGGCAGGCGACGGCTGAGCCGGCGCGACGGTGCGCTGTCCGGCGCTGCAGCGGTGCTACAGCCGCCCGAGCGCCGCCGCCAGCAGGAGCAGCGGCATCAGCGGCAGCGCTGCCAACAGCGAGCCGCCGGCCACGCAGACGAATGTCTGCGTGCGCTCCTCCAGCTGCTCACGCCAGCCGGCCTGGCAGTTGCACTCCCCATCCTCGCACGCGGAGAACGGCACGCGGCACTCGTGCGTCTGCTGGCATGGCTCGTGCAGGCCGTGCTGCAGCCAGCACGCGCCGCTCACGAACAGCGCGCCGTCCGTGCAGCGGCAGACGGGCTGCGCCTGGCCGGCGACGGCGCCGCACGCGGCGTGCGCACCGAACGCCGCCCGGCACTGCTCCGTGTCCACGCACGCGCCGTTCTCGTAGTCGGGCACGTCCTCGTAGCACGTGTTGTTGTAGAAGAGGGGCGCGCTCTCAGGGCAGGCGCACGTGCTGTTGGCGTCTGCGACGCTGGCGTTGCAGAAGAGCGTGTCGCTGCGCCAGCAGTCGAGGTCGCTGAGGCAGGGGTCGTCGCCGCCGCCCGGCCAACGCTGGCACACGTCGTGCGTCAGGTCCGCGAAGGGGTATGCTGGCAGCGCGCACGCGCACACGCCGCTGGCGCCGCTCAGCTGGCAGACGGAGCGGCTGCTGTATGTGTTGCAGGTGGAGTTTGCCACGCACGAGGTGTTAAGCACACCACCCAGGAGCGGCGCAGAGAGCGGCCAGCCGTCGGCCGCCGCCGCCCACGTCGTGGCCGCCGCGGACGCGCCGCCGATCGCCGCCAGGAGCAGGACACGCCACATGGTGCCTGGCAGAGGGCTTTGTCGTCAGTGAGCGCCGGCGTGGCCCGCGGGACCGGGCGCCGCCCGAGCCTGATAGCCGAGCTCGGCGCTGCTGACGACGGCCGGCGTTCTGATCGGATGACGCGGCCGGACGCGGTATCGGACGCGGCCGGCGAGCCTGTGTGCTCGACGGGCGCTTTTCTCACGCGCGCCGCCGCAGCAAAGGTCGGAACGCAGCCAGCATGGCGTCATCGGATGCCGGCGACAGGGGAACGCCAAGTGCGCGGCGTTAACCGAAGGCGTCGATCCATATTTGCGGTAAGGATTGGTGAGAGGCCACGGTGTTGTGACGCAGGAGGTCACGAAGCCAACGACACACAGCACGTCATGCATTAGTGATGGATGTGTCCTGAAACTGTTCTGCAAACTTTGCGACGATAGCTGTGTGGACAGCGGTAAAAACGCCCTGGTGATTCAACTCCGGCCGTGCTTAGTGTTTTTTCTTTGTTTTGTTTTGTTTTGTTTTTGCCTCTCGCCAGTCAAGATGATGACTTACCGGGGTGTGGCATTCGTGTACAGCGTTTCTGGCGGTATTGAGCATCTTATTCAGAGCCTCGTCCACCTCACCAAACAAGGAGTGAAACCAGACGTTACTAGATCAATATTCCATTTCATTCAAATTGTATCCCCTGGACTTGTAGATGATGCCAAGATGTTGCATGTTGCAAGCAGTGGCAACCTCAATCACGGTTCCAGCTCTACTGACTTGCGTAGTACGCGGCGCGGTGCCTTCATTTCCAGCTTCGTCACACTGTATGCATGGCGAAAACTACGTGCATCAATCAAACACGCAGCATAACCTTGTTTGGCTCGAGCTGCGTTCATTACCATGACTTGACTTGCGCCAGAATCCGTAACGTATGGGGAAAGGAATAGGTGGCTGAAGCTGCCCCGGACCTGAACTAGGTGGGATTGACCCCGTGTTGTTTTGCGTATGTGAAATCGACCCGTAAAACCAGCTGGCGTGTGCCAACCCCTTGGCTGTCTAACGTGCACAGTCTGTCAAGAACCGCGTAATTCACATAAATATATTGCGTCAGCTCACACGCAGGCAAATACGATGTCAAACTTGTACTGGTGTATTTAGCTTAGAACACGTAGCATGCATGGTCGTAACTTTTGAACAATGGTTGATGACTGGGAGGGCGAACCTATCGTTTTGCTGCGACCTGCGTTGTTGTGTAGTTTGTACAGGAAGACAGCAGCTAACTGAACAGTTAAGACTGGTAGGCTGCTCGGCATTCTTAGAGTACAATTATCTGAGGGGACCCATTACGTTAAACAAATTCCAGGACACAAAGGATGGATGCCGGTGATAGCAAACCTCCAAGATGGGAATCAGTAGACGCCACATGTACGTCTTTTCCACCCATGCAACACGATAAGGCTAATGTTATCAACGAAAGGCTAGCTTCTCCAGCTAATCCTCGTTTTCGTCGTCCCTGATAACGGCCTGAATCGACCTGGCGCGCTATGGCTGAGAAGGGACTGGAACTCCTTCCTGCATCCAAGCTGAAGCTTATTACATTATGTTTATAGCTATATTATTATGGCTTCTAACTTTTCGGCCTAAACTAAACACTTTTTTAAAAACAAGCTTAACTTATATCAATACTGCCTTCCGCATTTTTCGGGGCGTTTCAAAAAGCTTTCCGGTAAATGGAAGTGGCAGATAGCCACCAATGCCGGAAGTTTTTCGGAGCGAGAGGGTTCGGGACCCAAGGAGTCCAAAGTACAGTGCACTTGCAGATGGTTACAGATATGCACCATAGGGCCAATGTGAAAAACCACCAGACTTGGTACCCCCCCCCCCCCCCTTTACCTCCCTTCCACAAGCTTCTCCCGAGGATCTCTAGTCATGGCAGTCAGCGTGGACGTGCCAAATTAAATCATTTCGGCACGGGGCGAGGCGAGACATACTCGTTATCCATGGCAGGATGTCCTAAACCAGCTCAACATCATTGAGTCAAGTGGACAGTGCGTGACGGTTTGCCGGCGCAGGCCCGGGCTTGGCGTGACGTGGTCCCGGGCTCGGCGTGACGTGGTCCCGGGCTCGGCGTGACGTGGTCCCGGGCTCGGCGTGACGTGGTCCCGGGCTCGGCGTGACGTGGTCCCGGGCTTGGCGTGACGTGGTCCCGGGCTCGGCGTGACGTGGTCCCGGGCTCGGCGTGACGTGGTCCCGGGCTTGGCGTGACGTGGTCCCGGGCTTGGCGTGACGTGGTCCGGGCTTGGCGTGACGTGGTCCCGGGCTCGGCGTGACGTGGTCCCGGGCTTGGCGTGACGTGGTTCCGGGCTTGGCGTGACGTGGTCCCGGGCTAGGCGTGACGTGACGCATGGTCAGGCAGGCTGAAAATGATTAGCTGACGAGATATGAAGGTAGATACTATTATGTACGTGCATGCACTCACGGTTAACGTAAATTAGCCACATACTGCAAAGATATGACATAAGCGAATAAGTGACATATCATATCTAGACAGCGGCTAAAAGCGTCATGAGAACATATTCATCAGTACATCACGCATGATCTGTGTCGGTCTTTTGTCAGTCTGTGTCAGTTCATGTCGATCCGTCCTCTGTCGATTTGCCAGCTGTTTTTTTTTTTTATCCCAATCGCCTGCGGAACGTATGCGATAATCTAAAACCGTACACTTTGAAACCCATTAGACAAAAACAAAGTCAGGCTAACGTAACTATAAAACATGACCGACGGCTGAATCCTACACAGCTTGCAAACAAAAAACTAATGACATTGTCCGGCCACCCTCACTCGTTTATCGCAAACACACAAACACACCTTGAAGGCATCAAACAACTTTACAATAAAACTAAATCCACATGATCGCCTGGCTCGACGAAAGTAACAAACAAAACGACCACCACTAGCGGGTATCCGGCCGCACTCGCAACGCTGCTGCCATCTGGCGCCCATCAGCAACCCGGCGGGTGGCGTCAGCACCCCTGCCGTCCACGGCAGCGGTGCCTGCAGGCGGTCAGTAGGAGCGGTGCCCGGCGTGCAGCGTCAGCATGCCCGCCGCCGCCAGCAGCGGCGCCTGCAGGCGGTCAGTAGGAGCGGTGTCCCGAGGGCGGCAGCGCGTGGTAGCGGTGGGGTCCGAGTGAGTACGGCTGCGGCTCTAGCGGGCCGCGTTCGGTGCGCGCGTGCTGCCGCTGCCCGTAGATGGCCGGCGCCGGCGCCGGCCGGTACAGGTCAGCATTGATGCCGTACTGCGACTGGGAAGCTGCGCAGTTGACGTTGAACCACCAGTCGCAGACGCGCGTGCGCTGCGAGTAGACGGTGCCGACTGGGCACA